GTAGGAGCTTCTGTTTACCATATTTTGATTTTTGTGTCTTCCATGACATCCACTTGTATTACAATCATAGCTGCTGCTGGGTAAAACTGATACCTCAGCTGGTTTTTCTACAATACGTACAGTACATGTTATTGGCTGGGTCTAGGTCAATGCACCTGTCAGTTGGCAACAGTAGAAGAGTCTTGTAACTGTCACTTACAATGGGAATGGGACCTGTACCACCTGATAATAAATAGTGAATACATGCAATACAAAACAGAAAACTACAGATCAACATTCTAAAGTGAGAACGGAAATCTCTGTCATTCATGTCTCACTTTGATCCTACAACATACTTAATGATTATACTGCAGCATTTATATAATGTTTGTGTGGGAGATTCAAAGTTTTTTACAAGAGGCTTTGTAAATTGCCCAATGCTTTAGTTCTTTTTCCTTTCTTGCTAAACAAGAAATAAATAGCTCAAATTAGCTATCTGTTCAATTAGTTTCAGCAATCTCTCTTTTCTTACATGCAAAAATAAGTCCTAACCAAGTCACATCTTTCACCCATTTAAAAATGATTTGTAAATGAACATATGGTTCATTTACTGGATAAAGTGTTGAAGTCTGTGAATAGTACATTTGGTTAATAAAACCTTTTATCTGCTCATCTTTCATTCTGCTGTAGCTATCTCATAACTAGTTGCGGATTTGGTATTGTGTTTTTCCAAAATATATGAGCTCCATCATCAGAAAAATGGTTTGCAAAAAGGTATGTGTGGGGCTTCTTGCTTTGTTTTAGCTTGGTATGTTCTTATAATCTTACAATAAAAGATAAATTACTAATGGGCTCAAGGCAGCAAAAGCCCTCTATGAATAAACATACAATCATGCGCAGCAAATCTCAAATACATGGTACAGTATGTGTTTCCATTACACATGATAAAAGCTCCTGACTGTGACAAACAACCACAGAGAAGGGAATGGTTCTGAAGGCAGAAGGCATTAAATTAAAATCTAAAACTTCATCAGAAAAAGGAAAAAAAATTTTCAAAATCATCTCCACTTATGTACAAAACATTTGCCAGAAAAAAAAACATCTGCGTTCTTGCTATTTAAATGACAAGATCGGGATTTCAACTCCTCTAATGTTGTCTAGGTTTTTGTTTGATTTTTTTACATTGAAATACAGTTGAATTGTCCTGTAACATTTTAAGGGATTTTATATTACATTGCATATTTTTATTCTTCATTCCACTTTATGCAGGTATATTGATACCACATGGATTGAAAATAATATTATTTTAAAATGCTTAGAAAAACTAGAAGGTTTCCTCCTGCTCTAAGGATTATTAGGTCCAGACAAATATATGTGTTACGGAATTCACTTCATTAGCTAGTTCTGTGGTTTTCAGCTTAACAGGGAAGTTGTTAATGAAGTAGGGTTCTGCCTTTTTATTCCTGGGTACCTGCTAAAAGGAGATCTCTGGCATGGAAAAGGAAATTAACCTATTTAGTTTACAACCCATTAAAAATGTTTGAAGGGACTTGAGAAATAAAATGAAATTAAAAACAATCCTCAAAATATGGATTAAAACGTTTAAAATAATGTTCCTTCCATACAGCAAAAAAAAAACACACCGTGTTATTCGGTACACTGTAGTATACTGTATATGACAATTGAAAGGAAAGAAAAAAAATCTGTTTAAAGTAATCCTTTACCTCTTAGCTGTCTCCAAAGTAAACCTCTTAATTTATGAGCCATGAGGACATTAGTTAAATGAGAAGAAAGTGCTTAGTCCTCTTCAATAATAAAAACAGAGGAGATCAGTGCTTCGCACTATTAAAGTGCCAATAGAGGGAGATTAATTCCACGGGAAAAAAAAAGTGCTCACTAAGATCTCATTTAGCCAGAGATCCCTCTCTGTGTAAAACAGCCAGCTTCTGGACAGAGTGCTTTCTTCCTTAATTAAGAATATCACGGGGGGCTGACTGGACACTTTCAGTGGACTAGCACAGCGACTAATGACTTTGCTCAATAGATACTCTTCTATTTGGCAAGAATCCCTGGGCTGCCCTTGAAGGGGGGGGGGGGTACAAAGGGAGACAAAAGCAAAGCAAATACCAAGACATTTTCTTATGAATCTCTCCGTCAGACTAGTCAATCCCTCTACCCACTTCTTTTAATTAAAATGGTTGCAGCCTCATTTTATGATTCCCCAAAATTCTTTACAAGTAAATAGCCCCTTCTCTGACCTTCAAGTAACAGTCCCTGTATTTCCAATAATTATTTCTTCTATTGAGTCCAAATCATCCCTCAATCTGAGATCTTTTCTTCTCAGCACCCACTCATTTCTTTTTTTTTTTTGTATTCCTGATATTATTTTTTCAGAGTAATGGAATACGAGCATACTGTACCTAGGGCCTTTTACAGAGGAAAGGTATTGTGAATTATCCAAGAATGTGTTATACAAACTGATTTACACAAAAAAAAACATTCTAGCTTAGGTCAATACCTAACCTACATTCATAAAAATACAAATTCTTATTTTTAGATTATTATTAAATAACAGTTCACTGGCCAGCAGTGATACATTTGAGTAACAAAACACACTCAATGGGATATAAATCCCAATGTGGTGCACGCTCAGGACCATGTAATCAGATTACTGATTACAATCAGTACAATCCAGACCTTTACTTTAAATCTGATGTGCACTGTTTCTGTACAATGGAAAAGCTTACGCAATCCAAGACCAGCTTGTGTGCATGTGTATATGATTCAATGCTGCATTTTACACAATATGTCTTATACTCATCACAGAGAATACTTTTAGTAAAAACTGACTATAGTAGTTTTTGAACTGCTAAGTTAAAAACCAAAGCACTTCTTAATATTTACAAGAAAGAGTGCTTCACTTTTTATTTATGTCCTGGGAGATAACAAAGATAATTTAGGTTAGGTCATAACTTTGACATTATACAAACATTTTAAATCTTTTTGTTTCCAATAAAGTAGTGGAGATTGACATTCCCCTTGAAAGATAACAACATAGTAATCTGAAAAAGGACTCACTAAGCCATTATAAGATTTGAGTGTTTATCTTCTGGCACAGTTCATTTAATCTTTGATTCAAAATGTGAGTGAGACCCCTGGAATGTAGGCATAAGGAGAGTATTCACCCCCAATGCTGCATTTTGATCTAAGGTGCTCCCCCACTTTCTAATGGATACCATCTCTCATAATAAACCCCAGCTGTGGAAACGGTAAAGCCCCTTTGCGTGTGAGCCTTTTAGAATTTACCACACTGCTTAGTTAACCAACACGTGATTCATATTCTGACATTGTTCAACGGAGGCTGTCCCACCTGCACCCTCTCAAGCTACAAATTAATACAGTGTGTGGGCACAGAGAGACTGAATTGGAATAGGTCAAAGCCCATGGGGACTTAACAGGGATAAATAGAAAAAAGCAAAAAAAGACAGTTGAAGAGAGAATCTGTAGCACTGTTTGGCACAATGTGTTCAATTAACTTAAAAGCACATTTAAGAGACACGTCTGAACAATGTTTTTAACCACATATTTCTCCCCAGTGCTAATCTTCATAAAATGGAAAGATCTTTAACTACAGATAAAAGAAAATGGGGTAACTAACCAAACAGCAGTAACACATAAGAGTTCAGAATAATAGTATACCTGCATGGTGTTAGATGCATATAAATGATCTCAATTATGTTTAACATTAGCTGATTATAGTTAGGTGAAGTGTGACTACACAAAATGCATCTTCAATTCACAACACACCTGTACAGATCTGCAGAGGAGTGTAGAATATGCGGCCATATGTGACCTAGTAGCCTGCAAGCAGTGCCAGATGAATATCTTTAAAACAACCTCATTCTGTTTTGTATGTATTTTGTAGTACAAAATAGAAAAATAAATCGAACAAACAAGCATTAAAACTCAAAGGACCATCAGAATTCAAGGGGATTCTTTTTAAAATTTCCAAATAGTCAATAAGGTATGGGGTAATTAAAAAGGAAAAACAATAAACAAAGTTAATCAGTCCAAAACCGTGTTTTTGCAATCATAATTTTCAAAGAAGCTTTACAGTATGCTACCTTTTAAGGAAAACAAGTTATTTGCAGCAACATGGTCCAGGAAATGAAAGATTCAAACTAATAATTTCCAATTATGTATCGGGTCAAATTTCATATATAAATTATCTTGATAGAATACACTTCCTAATATCACATAAACCATAATATTGGGAAAAGGCTAACTCCTCAGTCAAAAGGCTCTAATTTAAATTTAAACCAATATAACGACAAGACTGTGTAGGGATTCTAACTTTTAAAAATAATAGAGATGGTGCCTTGTTAAGTCTGCGAAAAAAATGCTCTTGCCAAATGAAAACAGACTGTAACAATAATGTTGTTGGACACTGCATCAAAACAACATGAGCATACGGTACTTTTATTGTTGCTAAAGTGCTGCAAAATACACAAGGTGACCTCTTCTTCTAAAAGTCCTAGCTACACCCACACACCCTCGGGGCCACCCTTCAACTAAGAGCTGTCTCCCAAAGCTGGCAGAAGTACTGGTACAGAAACAGCCTCACCTTGTCCCTCCTGGTAACTCTCAGAGGAAAGAAGCACGAGAACAGGAACTTTCCCCAGCTGATTACCGTCGCCAAGCACCAGTTCAGACGGGCCATCCCGCCTTCCTTTCTTGCTGTCTTTCTTAATTCCCAGATATCCAGCCAGATGCTGGTGCCAGTACACCCTTACGTACAGTATGCACATACAATATCTCCAGAAGATGCATTTGAACCTAAACCCTGTGCTTACCCAGCACTCTTCACCCTAACTGTCATTTATCGACGACGCCAAAGTGCAAACCCACATTGCCAGAGACGAGCACATGCTAACCCTAGACTAGCAGCGACCATTCCTGTCATACATCATCCCCACTCAGGATACCTACATCTCTCTCTGGATGCTGCAGCACTTTCACTGAGAGGGAGGGGAAGGAGGAGGAGGCAGGGGACTGAGGAAAAGAGAAAGAAGGATAATCACAGGAAGACATGAAAACAGGAGTCTGGAAGGACAAGGATGAGCTCAAACTGAAAGGCAGAAGCTGAGACACAAAACAACAAATATACTGTAGAAACACTGATTGAGATGAGCTGATATGCAGTATGAACAGCATGCTGGGAAAGATTTCTGCGCATGCAAATTGGCAAATGCAATGTAACTCAGCTTTTCTTTTTGCTCATATTCTCCACTTCAGGAAAAGGGTGAGAACATTTCAACAAAACATTAAGGGTGCAAAAAGCAGTTACCAGCATGAACTGCTATGAAATTTGATAGTGTTATTATACATTGTTTAATTTAATTGACAGCACCTTTTACGAAAGTAATTAAAATAATATTGTAAATCATTTGATGTTGAATGTTTTCTTAAGAAATCACTGTACTTACAGAAAAACTAACACCTGTATTAAAAGAAACAATATATTTGTGTATTTCAAAGCTTGGTATGATGATAATGATAAAGATGAGATAAAATAACGTACTGTATAACAGGATTTTCCATGTAATGAGAACCAGAAACCATTTAATTTATGCCGTGGTACACTAAACAGTAAAATAATGGATGACATGTCAGTGTGTTACAAATCAAATTACATTATTAATATAGAATTAAAATGTCTAATCAGATAATAGCTGAGTGACAATCGTGGACTACTAAGAGAATGAAGAATATGTTTGGGAAGCACTGCTGTTTAGTATTATCAAGACACAGGTAAACAGGTATCTAAGAGAGACACAGCAAGATTCCTGCAATTCATAATCTAGAATTCAATTGCACATCAGTCCTTCCTCCCTCAAGGCCCATACCTCATTCTTAACTAAACTACCCATTAAGAATAATAGACCCTGCAATCACTAAAGACAGGTATTGACTAACAATATATACTTGCTTTCAATCTGAAAAAGTGATGCAAACGCACAGAGCACTGGCTGAAATATAGCAAGCCCTGCAACGTAGAGCCATAGACAATAATGAACAACCATGCGATAAAAGACTTTGACAGATGAGAACATTGCATATACTGTAGGATGTCCACAATTTTTTTTCAATCTGTTTTTCTATGGACAGTCAAGAATAGAATGGTGAAATAAAAACACTTAAACTAATTTATAAATTTAGACACTGTCACCCAATTAAATAGATTTATATGACCACAAGAAATGTAACCACTAAGAAAAAGAGAGAGAAAATGAATGATGAACCACTGGAACAATTTAACAATTATTCTAGTCCTAATAGTTCTCCAACAAACCAAGTCTTCTCTTCTTATATTTGCACTCTTCTCTTCTTAACTACCTTCATTAAAATTTACCATGGTAAATGTACCACAGTTTTTTTTTATTTTCACTATGGTTTTATTATACAGTACAATTGTATGGGGTATCCAAAATCATGTAAATAAATGCTAACACTGAGCACACAAAGATTGAGACTACTTGTATACGTATACACAGTAATGATGGAAACAAAGGACACTAGCTCATGTTTGGTTATTTCCTTTCATTTCCATTGCTTTTCTGCAGTATTACACTAAGAGCTGTGTTTTTCCTTCTAGGTGAAAAATGTTGAAAAGGTCTTTCAGATTTGAAAGGCATGAACTGCTGTGCCTTTTTAACACTTATAGGCTTAACGTTTAAGCCTAGAAATGATATCTACTGTACACCAGACCACTATTTCCTGCTATCCAAACAATGGTTTTTACAGCTGAGGTACAACAGCTTTAAGGTTAATAATCCGTACATAAGGTATTTGTTCATCTGCCATGCTCTACTTCATTAATCATATCCTTGTAACAGTAAATGTTGCATGTATTAGTTTCGTATTACAGCAAAGTGGGTATCACTTTACTATTGGGCTGTAAAACATCCAACAGCTGCTATTTAGGAACACTAATCTTCTCTGAATAAAGGGTCTACTGGTGCTAAATAAAATGAACCACATAAGCATTAACATTAAACACATGGATAAACAGTAAATACAGTACATATAAAAATACATCTACTGTATATAATATAATATTAACATACATTTCACTTTTTGTATGTATATAATGTACAGTATGGCAAACTGGTCTTGTATGGCAAACTGTATTGGCAGTATACAGTATGCATGTATAGATGTGTCTTTTTGTCATTTTTTGTTTAAGAAGTAAAGATTAGATTAAAGTCTGATAAGTGATGATGATATATGAGTTTGTTTAAAAATGTTTCATTATTTTTGGACACTTAAGCAACCCCATGTTTCTTTCAATTTCTCAGCGCAATTTGTATTGTATTATTCTAATGGGCCCTGTTAAAATATGATTGTATTTCATATTTTGTCATCTGCACAAAATATACTTAAAACCATTAGGTAAAAATGGAAAAGTATAACATCAAATAAATCATCCCAAAAAGTAGTACTTCTATTCGGACCAGCTGTCCTTGCCCAACACACTGTGCCTAACACATTACTCTACAGTATATCCCTAGTTACATTTATAAGTGCTTTAGCAAAATATTAGATAAAGACAATTGCTTACTTTCTAAATTTCCAAGTATTGCATCTGTAAGAGTCAAAAATAGTTTCTCACAAGACAACAATATAAATATTCTGATATACACCCTTGTAATCAGAGAGAACAGTAAATTAGTATGATCACAGTTCCATTACCAGTAAATTGTTTTACCAAGGTAATGTTTAATTTTCATTCATCATGAGAATTGTTGCACGGTTATTACACACAATACCATGAAGATCATCACTTCCACACTCTCAGCGTTTGGAAATACAAGCAGTACTGAAGTTGAAGCAACTCAATTTTTTCTAACTTCAGGTGTCATACAGAAATACAACTGATGTGCTATTGTTCTCATATTGTTCTGTTTATTCAACCTACAGTACATAGAAAACCAGAATGTTTTCACTGCTATTATTCCACTGGAATAATAATTCCTATTAAATTTCCTTTCAGCCTCTGATCCCCTTACTGGCTATCTGGGGGCATTAATAATACCTGCAAGAAAAAAACACTCCTACTTGGTACAGACATCCAGTATCTTTAATCCCACTGCCATATATGTGTGTGCATTTATTCCTACTAAAATTATTCCTCTTTTTTAAGATTTCAGAAGTGTTTCAATAACACATCTCTTGGCTACATAACACTGAGATTATCATCTTTTCTTGCTAAATGGTTTCTCTGGTTTGCCCTATGTGGATATAAATCTACTGGATGTTCATTCTTCATATGAAGTAACCTTCATAACTTTCATAACAATACAGGGGACTGTATTCATCAACTTTCCATTATGAAAAACAATCCCTCAGGATTTTGTGTTTGCTTTATCAGGAGGAAATGAACAGTCAAGTCCAAACCAAAAGATGGCCTCTGGATGGGCGTATTCCCTGTCATCCTGTCTGAAACAATACCGAATACTGTACAGTAAGTGTTGATAATAGAAGTGAACGCATGATGCTTACGCCTGCATTTTATTCACTGCTAAGACTCAATAGAAGGAACAGTAAGAAAATGATATAGTACAGTACATGATACATAATACAATATGCACTGGATACAGAAATTATAGACTAAGTCAAAATATTATACCAACTTCTGACTAAGGGGAAATCTGACATATTGCAGGGTCAAACTGATTTATATACGGCATGCACACCAACTGGAACAGGTACTGTATGTTAGTTACTAAATGTCAACATAAGTTTAATTTTAGAGCCAAACTTTCCTTGGCATTTTATGTTTTTATAGTAGTACATTTTAAAACCTAGTGTGCTTTTTAATATCACTACAATTTAACTACAATAAATTTATTTCAGTGCATGCAACATATGAACGTTGCCCATAGTAACTTATTCTTTTTCCTACAAAACAAAATTATGTGAAACAAAATTAAAAGGCCATTCTTTTTAGCTTCCCAGGCAATGTAAGTCTTCCTTGAATGCCTCTGAATTACATCTTTAATATGAATGATAAAAGACCCCACAGTGGGCTCATTTTCTCATGTTTAAGCTTACAGTTTAACAAAGGTGATTAGTTGCTTGTCCCTAATGATAACATGCAGCACATTCAACCCCTGTTTTTCAGCATAGATGTACATCATAGAGACCTCATACACACTGCAAATACAAAATAAAATTGTATAACATTGAAGTATGGTAATTATATTATTCTTAAATGCAGTTTATAAACTGACAGTGACAAATCTTGTTTTTAGGAACAGAAAGTTCTATGACAAAATAAACAGATGAAGAGAAACATATGACATATCAAAATATGTTCCAGGAGTGACATTCCTAAACAGCCAGAATATATTCATGAGAACTAAAGTGAATTGAATACAGCAAATCTCATATTCAACTGTATAAATTGGTAATAGTACAAAGAAAATTATTTATCTTAACAACGATGTAAACTTGCCACAGTACGAACACAAAACTGTGAAGTTACAGCATTCTAATTTGTACTGGGTATTTTCAAAATAGGTTGTGTCAATTTCTATGTTTGTTATGGTATATTTATACAATACCTTTATGTTAATCTAATAATTTTCAAAACAATAAGATTGGCCATTATTATTCATCAGTGAAATGCTTAATGAAAGCAACTGCTATTATTATTAATCTTAAATTAGTTTCATTCACACCTCTGACAGGGTTTGCTAGTATCCTTTCTCTGTAATAATTAAAGAGGATTCAGGGCTCATCTTTTAAATATGACTTGTACTGTATATTAACTCATACGATATGAAGTTGTGGTCAAATTACAATTTATAACACAGGTAGGAGAAATTGATAACACTGATGTTAACACTATAAGAATCACTAAGAACATACATTTATATTAATAATCTGTTCCATCTGTTATAGTTTCACAAATTACACTGGAAAATCCACATACAGTATGTTAAGAAATATATCTCTTTGAAATAATATTTCCGCAACCTTTTCTTCTAAAGCATTATTTCTTATTTTGGATCAAGCTACAAGTAGGTCTTGTAATGTTCATAATGTAAAAACTACTGCACTGTATATTTAGATGACTTTTCTCAATAATTAATTAAATTATTTAAAGTGAAAAATGTTTTCACCTAATTGATTTAAAATTCCATTAGGAGATTGAGCTACTGTTTCTAGGGTATAAGCAGAGCACACATGAGCCTCATTTAAGTAAAAATTCTTTATATTAGGCCAAAAACTGTCTTCCTTCATCATGAGAAGAAGTAAACTATACATAAAACTTTAAAACTATGATATTTATCAACATGGATCTTGGTGACATGTCTTAATTTGTGGGTGCCTCAGAAATAAAAATTATCTGTTTCTTGTCACGTATCTAGAGGTGCAGACACATGTTAGTTTGGAAGTGATGGTAAGAACATTCTTACTTTGGAGTGATGCTAAAGAGTTCAAATACAGGAGCTTTATTTGATAGGTTTGAAAGCAATCTCAAATGAATCTGGTGGGAATCATCTCATATAAAGATCTTACAGACGTTGTCCTGTAGCCAAACAGAAGATGGAGAAACAAGAGCAGTATCCAAGAGGAGAAAGCTGTTGCAGGTACTGTAAGTGTGAGGAAGGGGTTGGGAAGTGACAGATGACAAATGGTGCATGTGAGTAGAAGCGGGCGAGACAGAGCCCCTTGTGATTAAACCCCTAGAGAAATCTAACTAATCTCCCCCAGTTAGCTGCTACTCTCCAGAAAAAGGTGAGGACAATACTAAGAAAACACTCTTTTGATTTAAGAAGGAAAATCAATCTTAATTAAATAACCTTGCGGTCTTTTTGGAACACCGTTACAATATTGTTGATGAATTGACATAACGGTCTATGTAAACATTTAATGAAATTAAGTCCCCAAAGTATTTCTTCCATGTAAAACTATTAAAAAAACACATATGTTTATCACAAAAACAATATTGGTGGGTTTTTTAATAAAAATGATTTTAACCATTATCAGCACAAAAAATTCAAAATACAAGTATACATTCTCCATCCTGAGAGAAATCGTTTCACTCTTACAGTATTAAAGTACTAGAATGATTTTCCAAAAATGCTGAAACAATGACGTGCTGCAATCGGCATCTGCTTAAAATAATTTGTTTTAATGCAATAAAATAAGAAAATGTCTCCCTTTCCCTGAGAACGTCAGTGCAAGTAGAGAGGTCATTTGAGTTTCTCTGGGTCCTTAGCCAAAACTGGAAACCTGGGGAACTAGACAAAACACAAAGAGGTATTACAATCAATAAGAATAGTTAATGTAAGAAATAACATGTATTGACTGTTGGATGAGTACAGATTAAGACTTGGGTGAGTCTGGGACATACCATCAACAGGCATAAACTACTATAGCTTAGCTCCTTTTTCTATTTCCAAAATCAAATTTAATAATGAGAAAAAAAGGGAAAGGGGAGGGTAGAGGATTAAACAGAACTTGTTGGGAGCTGAATGATGCAATAATTGGCCATCTTTTGTTCCTAAATTGAAGATTTCTGTGGTGTTGTTGAAAGGCTGGGACAATGGGACTGCAGCCGACAAAGCCAAAGAATATTCATTCCATTTCCTACCCTTAAGGATTCTGGGTGCTGGAAGCTTATCAAAAACACATAAAGTCTTTTTTTCTCTCAAGCCACAAAAGGACCTGCTGCCCTCCACCTAAAGGCAATGAATTAAAATTGAGTCATGAATTGGGTTTCAAGGGGGCTGGCAAAAAAAGCAGCAAAGGAATGTGACATCAGTCTTTCCACTGGTGTCAAAACCAAGCACTCACTCTACTATTTCACTGCATCCTGTGCACAGGACAATACAATTACCTTGAAGAAGTAAAATGAGTACAATTAGAATAAAATCAGGAGTAGGACGGCTTTAGGAAGAGTGGTGGAATAGTGCTCTATACAGTTTTGGCCTAAACACTTCAGTTTTTGCAATTTAGGAAAAATATTCAGACTTGTCTGCTGCATTAAAAAAATCTTTTTTTAAGCTGTTCTAAAGTTCAGTATTACTCTTGTCTGTGGCTTTTTCTTAGTTCCACCAAGTAAGAGTCCAATAAACATAAATTACTCCTCCACTTACAATATGTTATATAGGCAACAAAAAAACAGTCTTCATGATGTTTTGAATCGTCAACATTCCTTAACGATGCTCATAGTTTTAAAAGACCTTAAAAGAAGTGATAACATTGTTTCAATTTTTTAATGTTCAGATTACTTCAGAGGTTTACTGACCATCCTTTTACTTTATTTTTCAACATAATTAACATTCACATTGTCTCCCTAATTTTGTTTTTTTTATTGTGGCACAACAAACTGACAGTGCTCCATGGGACCAAATGCATGCAGTAACTTACTCTTAAATGTGTATTTAGTGAATGAAAATGAAACCAAATCACACAGAGAAACAAATGTTCTTTGTAAAAAAGTAGTGATTGAATGGAATTTATTGCATGTGGACAAGCTTTGCATGCCAGCCATTCAGCAATAGTCATTGTTCCATGTATTTAAAGACACCCATGATTACAACCTTTTGGAAATAAGAGATGTGGTGACAGCTCCAATTTCTTCATTAATGCAATCACTGTAAACGGTCCCCTGAAGTATTGCTCAGTCAGTAAAGATAGGAAGGTAATGCTTGTCAAGACATAAAAAGTATGGGAGACAGAATGTTACCATAATACACTGTGACAAAAAAATTACTATAATTCTAAAATTAAAATGCAGCTACATACAGTAAACACTTTTTTTTTAAAGCACAGATTATAGATTCAACATATTTTTGTCATTGTTCAAACAAGATTCTGACAACATCACCCCTCTAATAAATGCTTAGTATCCTAAAAGGCAGTGTTTAGACTAAGTTTAAAACAGTGGCAGTCATTTGTGGGATTCAAAATGAGTCATGAATGACCAGATTGCTACAAAACACTATTCATATACAGCGTAATATGCCAGTCTGATGAAAGTATTAAAGCAAGTCTTAATGCAGAACAGAGAGAGAATAATAACCAAAGGTGTGCTGTTTATTCACAAAAACAAATCAAAGCACAAGCCCCATGTTGTGCACTATCACACAACCTTGGTGATTGGTGAATACAAGATTTGAAAATTTGGTGATTTAAACATTTTAAGTCTCAGCTTGTGTTATGAGCCTTTCAGGTGAAAACCTGAAAGCTGTCCATCAAGGTCTAACTAGGGAGTTAATCATCTACTGTGTGACTGTGCTCATATTGTCAATTTGACAAAGAAACATATCATATACTGTATTAATCAATATTGACAAATAATAGAATAGTCCTTGTAACGAATCAGTTTCAGCCAAAATATAATTATTTTTATAAATTATAATAACTATTATATTTATTTATTTCAATGTTAAAAAGAGTAGCTCTTATTCTGGACAAATAATGAAAGATAAAGTGTTCTCTAGCCAC